GACGTTGTGGTTGTTAATTAGTTTGTTGTGATTATGATTAATCATTTTTATAATTTATACATTTTACGATATTATATTGCGGTTGTCTTCTATAGTATAAAATTGGGAAATTTTTAAATCGTATAAACTGTGTATGCCATTTCCAAACTATTGTGATACATTGTAGGTATACTTATATAACTATAGCACTATATAACCATATACAATTTAATCTTAAAAAACGAACGCACCTACCGAATAATAGTACGCCCACCCACTTCAAATAATGTTGGGCTTTTATACAAAATGTTTCTGCGGACCCCATAAAATGTTAAAATAAGTATTCCTATTAAACTTTAAAAATTAAAAAAATTACAAATTTATTTTAACGGGCCCAATAGTCATCTTCTTAGTGAAGACTCTGTCTATCTACATTATATGGTATATGATATTTGTACGCACAAACGCTGTTGTTACTGGCAAAATGTAATATACTCAATTATTATAATTAATTAATAATTATCATTGTTTGATCATTTGTAATATTATTTCTCTGTGTTATTAATTATACCTAATATTTATAGAAGCCCACAAAAACATTAAAAACATAGTAATTAATAGATAYTTCCTTCTTTAGAAACTAATAGTTGGTTTAGTAAATAATAAAATTAAGGTTGTGAAATTTTATAGTGATAAACTATAACTGTATAAGTATATCTATATATATTTTTCAACTAATACATTTTTTCATTACTCACGCATGTCACTTTGTACTTTACTATTTGTATTATATAATCAGTTGTAAAAAATATATGCAAAATAAAAAAACAATTATTAAGAGCCACCAATAATTCGTTGATATATTAAAAATAAATGGTTTAATTTATGAGCTATAATTTGTTTATATAATATAATACATTGCATATTTTAAAATATACATTTTGGACTAAATTTCTTGTACAAATGGTAAGTATAATATAATATCATCTACAAGTCGCTCTATAGGTATTAGGTATAGAATAGGTAGGCACGTTCTTCGTTTAGGCAAGGAAGGAGAGAGATACTATGTAAAACTCCGAACTCGGATTGCTACAATAGCAAGTCGGCACATATCAACTGTATAGGTAAATCGAGGTGTATGAATGTCCCCTTTAACAAACGGACATTTAATAGGTATTTACTCTTTCCTTATTGTTACGATACGCACAGTGCAAACGCTAAGATATATTCATATCATAAATACAGCCAATACGCAGGGCCAGATTAAGGTTTTTACCGCCCATAGGCTGAATATGTTGATATGTTGATCATGACACCCCATGTTTTTAAATTATAATTAATTAAATAAAAATATAAAATAAATACTTTTTTTTACTTAGGTATTTAAGTATTTTAATAAATCAAAACTACTATAAAGCAAGCTTAAGAAAAGAAATACATATGCAAGTGCCTATATATTTCTCGCATTACTCACTCTTCAGAGTACAGTCGATTTTTTTCTCTGCAGTCTTCAATGATGTCGTCTTTTGATAACTGATTAGTAAATTCATGTTCAATACTTAATGTGGCAAGTAAATTTAATCAATTATATATGACATCCGCGTAGATCAAAGATAATTTTTCATTATATTCAAGCAAGAAAATAAAGCGTTTAGCTGAATGACTAGGTAGTCATATCAATAGATGTATTTATTTTGAATACTATTTTGATGTTGGGATATATTGAATCAATTTTTTTTTTTTTATATAAAATTTTAAGAAGTTTGGGAATATTATTTTTCTTATCATCGTAACCAGTTGTATTATGTGTGCATTTAGAGTTTTAAATGTGGACATTTATTAATTAATTAATTTAAACCCATATCATCATGTGATTACTTTTAAACTTGACAACAAAATCAAATGGCTAAAATAATATTGTGATAGGTATATGCTTTTCTTCACTTGTTGTTAAGTTCAATCCATAAACGATCTAAAATAACTAAAAAGGTATTAATTTTAAATTTTTCTTTCTCAAAAGTAACTAAATCATTGTTTCGAGTTTTATCACGAATAATAGATTTTGTTTTTTGTCTTTATATTCTCTTATAATWGATTTTTAAATWGATTTTATATCAAATTCATCAACATTTTCACGAGTATTTGTAATTAGTCGAATAAATAATCGTATAGCTCAACCACGAGATTTCGATCTATTTCAAATCTTTATAACTTCTCATTAACTACATGACAGCTAGTCCTTATTAATAATATTGTTAATACTCGTGATAAACCTATAATTATAGAAATAAACATTGTGTAGATTGTCAAAACTTTTAACTTATTGGTTAACCTCGTCCATCACCCTAATAAATTTTTTAAACATTGAAATTGAAAGGCATATTGGTRCCTATGATGTAYATGATATATTGTAGCTGCTATAAAACTACATTATATTTTAATACATTATATTAAACTATTGAATAATTTGAGGCGTCAATGCTGAGAACTTTTAACTTGTACTTGTATCTTTAATTATTAACCGCTAACTAATATGAAATTACAAGTCACATATGTTGGTAAATGTTAACTATGAAAATTAATTAACCAAATAGGTTAATAAATTTCAATTTCACTATGATTGTAAAYGTACAAGTTATGTGTTGTAAATTTAAACATATGGTGTTATTATTAATGTGCAGTCTTGCCTCTTGCCACACATTTTGTGTAAATTTATACTCATATAATTTTTTACAGTGTACATTGTACTAAAAAAA